TAGGCACCTATAATCCCAGCTACTTGGTACTTGGGAGGCTGACACAGGAGAATTGCTTAAACCCAGGAGACAGAGGCTGCAGTGAGCCAAGATTGTGCCATTGCACTCCAGCCTGGGCAACAGAGCAAGACTCTTATCTCAAAAAAAACCAAAAACACAAAAAAAACAAAGCCTAGGTGTTTCCAAACTCCTTCTGGGTTTCTCTTGCTGGGTTTTAGGGCAGCCCCAGGAAGCTAATAGGTTTTCACCTGCTACGTGCCACGGACACATTCCCCTCTCATTGGTGGTCTTAGGCTAGTCCCTCCCTTCCCTGGGCCTCAGTTTGCCTCCCAGGTTCAAGTGATTCTCCTGCCTCAGCCTCCCAAGTAGCTGGGATTACAGGCACCCACAGCCATGATCAGCGGCTAACTTTTGTATTTTCAGTAGAGACAGGGGCTTCTCCATGTTAACCAGGCTGGTCTGGAACTCCTGACCTTAGGTGATCCACCCACCTTGGCCTCCCAGAGTGCTGGGATTATAGTCATGAGTCACCATGCCCGGCTGGACTTGGGACTTTTGATGCTCATTTTGGGAAAGCCTGGACAAACTGGCCACTCCAGGGCTAGCTATATCAGTCATTTCCAAAGACGCCTGCCAGAGTGAAAAAGAGATTGCTTAGCGCCTAGCAACGATGCAAGAGGTATTTCTGGAACCGTGCGGAAATGGAAAGTACCTGTGGGTGGAAACTTCAGTAGATGGATTTTTTAAAAATCAGCTCTGCCTCAGACAAGAGGAAAAAGGCTTGGGTCCCTAAGTCCTGGTCTGTAACGGACTCTGTGACTTTCCCTCTCCAGGGGTCAGTAACTCATTTGCAGATGGTTGGACGATGCTAGAAGGCTCCCCAGGGCACTCCAGCACCATGCTATTTACTCGGAAATGTACGAGGCATGGGGTACTGACCAAGTCTCTCAGTGACTCTAGGACCAGTCTCTTCCTCCTGAGCCTCTGAGCTCGGCTTTCTGCGTCAGTTTCCTCCCCTGTTAAATGTAGACGGCAGCCCCTGCCTCACAAGGTTGAGCAGGATGATTGGCCTCCTGCCCTTAAAAAGCTTGTAGTTCAAACCAGAGATCTCAAACCAGGGATCAAAGAACAGTCTTCTTTGCTCCTAACGGCATATAAAAAACATTAAAACTTGACCAGGTGCGGTGGCTCCCACCTGCAATCCCAGCACTTTGGGAGGCCGAGGCAGGCGGATCACCTGTTCAGGAGTTCAAGACTAACCCAGCCAACAAGGTAAAACCCTGTTTCTACTAAAAATACAAAACTTAGCTGGGCGTGGTGGTGGGCACCTGTAATCTCAGCTACTTGAGAGAGGTTGAGGCAGGAGAATCTCCTGAACTTGGGAGGTAGAGGTTGCAGTAAGCTGAGATCGCCCCACTGCACTCCACCCTGGGTGACACAGCAAGACTCTGTCTCAATAAATAAATAAATAAAATAAAGAGGGCCTGGTGCGGTGGTTCACGCCTGTAATCCGCACTTTGGAAGGCCGAGGTGAGTGGATCACTTGAGGCAGGAGTTCAAGTCCAGCCTGGCCAACACGGTGAAACACTAAAAATACAAAAATTAGCTGGGTGTGGTGGCACACGCCTGTCATCCCAGCTACTCGAGAGGTTGAGGCAAGAGAATTGCTTTAACTCAGGAGGCAGAGGTTGCAGTGAGCCAAGATAGTGCCACTGCATTCCAGCCTGGGTGACAGCAAGACTCTGTCTCAAAAAAAAAAAAAAAAGTTAAAACTGCAACCAAGATGCCCTGCAGGAAGTGAATGGAAAAACAAGCTATGAAGCATCCTCCCCATGAAATAGTATTCAGTGAGCTATATCAAGGCATGAAAAGACATGGAGGAGCCTTACATGCAGATTCCAAAGTGAAAGAAGCCAGTCTGAAAGGGTTACATGCATGATTCCAACCATAGGACATTCTGGAAAAGGCAAAACTATGGCAGTGGTAGAAAGATCAGTGGTTGGCCGCATACAGTGGCTCACGCCTGTAATCTCAACACGTTGGGAGGCCTAGGCAGGTGGATCTCTTGAGCCCGGGAGTTCAAGACCACCCTGGGCAACATAGTAGGACCCCTATCTCTGTTGTTGTTTTTGTTTTGAGACAGTCTCATTCTGTCACCTAGGCATGATCTCTGCCCACTGCAACCTCTGCCTCCCAGGTTCAAGTGACTCTCCTGCCTCAGCCTCCTGAGTAGCTGGGATTACAGGTGCCTGACAGCATGCCCGGCTAGCATTTTCTGTATTTAGTTAAGACACGGTTTCTCCATGTTGGCCAGGCTGGTCTTGAACTCCTGACCTCAGGTGATCTGCCTGCCTCACCCTCCCAAAGTGCTGGGTTTACAGCTGTGAGCCACCACGCTCAGCCAAGTCTACTAATTTAAAAAAGAAAAAGAAATGTTTGAACGGCCAAGACAGACACAGAGGAAAAATCAGTTCTGGGGGTTCCAGCCCCAACCAGGTAGAGTTGTGCCCCGCTTGGTTCTCACTTGGGGACAGATGGTCCCCACCTGGCTCGCCTCTGTGTAGTATATATGATCTGATTGGCCCCTGGAGGCACGGGAGTTTTGAGATTTATGATCCAGATTAATGGTTCTAAACTGGGAGAGACTGTGTCCTCAGGGACGCTGGCAATATCTGGGGCATTTTTGGTTGTCATTATTTGATGGTGGGCACGGGGCATGGGGGACGTGCTACCGGCCTCTAGAGGATGGAGGATGCTATAAAGCCTCCTGAAATGCACAGGGTGAGGCTGGAATACCTCAATGCAGAGAACCAGTTCTCATCCAGTGAATTTTAAAAAATACCGATGCTTGGTGCCAACCCCAGTGATGGTGAATTTATTATTATTATTATTTAGATGGAGTCTGCCTCCGTTGCCCAGGCTGGAGTGCAGTGGCATGATCTTGTCTGACTGCAACCTTGGCCTCCTGGGTTCAAGCCATTCTCGGGCCTCAGCCTCCCGAGTAGCTTGGATTGTAGGTTTGCACCATTACGCCTGGCTAATATTTGTATTTTTAGTAGAGACAGGGTTTCACTGTGTTGGCCAGGCTGGAACTCCCGGCCTCAATCGATCTGCCTGCTTTGGCCTCCCAAAGTGCTGGGATTAAGGGATGAGCCACCTCATCCAGCCCCACAATTCTCATTTATTTATTTAATATTTTGTTTTTTTGAGATTGAGTCTCACTCTGTCACCCAGGCTGGAGTGCAATGGCACAATCTCGGCTCACTGCAACCTCTGCCTCCTGGGTTCAAGGGATTCTCCCACCTCAGCCTCCTGAGTACATGAGACTACGGGTGCCCACCATCATTCTCAGCTAATTTTTGTATTTTTAGTAGAGACAGGGTTTCACTATTTTGGTCAGGCTGGTCTCTAACTCCTGACCTCAGGTGATTCACCCACCCTGGCCTCCCAAAGTGCTGAGATTACAGGTGTGAGCCACCATGCCAGGCCAATGATTCTGATTTAAATGAAAGAGAGGCGATATCAGGACAAAAGGATTTTATTTTATTTATTTATTTTTGAGACGGAGTCTTGCTCTGTCATCCAAGCTGTGGTGAGTTCTCAGCTCACTGCAAACTCTGCCTCCCGGGTTCAAGCAACTCTGGTGCCTCGGCCTCCCAAGTAGCTGGGATTACAGGTGTGTGTGCCACCATGCCAGGCTAATTTTGTATTTTCAGTAGAGATGGTTTTGCCAGGTTGGCCAGGCTGGTCTTAATCTCCCGACCTCAGGTGATACGCCCATGTCAGCCTCCCAAAGTGCTGGGATTATAGGCATGAGCCACCGCATCCGGCCGGGCTATGCATTTCTCTTTTTTTCTTTCATTTCTTCACTTTTGTAGCCAGCAATCACTGCTTCCTTCTCTTTCCTCACGTGGAGCTTGGGGGCCCGAGAAATGAGCCAAATCACCCAGAGGTTTTGCTCAAACACAAACTCTCATTCCGTTTTGCTCAAATACGACTTTCATTCGGCAGAACTGGGTGGGACCTAGGGCTCTGCATTTCTTTCTTTTTCTTTTTCCTGAGACACAGGTTCACTCATGTTGCCCAGGCTGGAGTGCAACGGTGTGATCTTGGCTCACTGAAACCTCCGCCTCCCGGGTTCAATCAATACTCCTGCCTCAGCCACCTGAGTAGCTGAAATTACAGGCATATGCCACCACACCCAGCTATTTTTTGTACTTTTAGTAGAGACAGGTTTTTGTAATGTTGGCCAGGCTGGTCTAGAACCCCTGACCTCAGTGATCTGCCCGACTTGGCCTCTCAAAGTGCTGGAATTACAGGCGTGAGCCACCATGCCCAGAAACAGCCAGGGCTCTGAGTTTCTTTTTCTTTTCTTTCTTTTTTTTTTTTTTTTTTTTTTTTTTTGAGATGGAGTTTTGCTCTTCTGCCCAGGCTGGAGTTCAATAGCGTGATCTCGGTTCACTGTAACCTCCACCTTCCAGGTTCAACTGATTCTTCTGCCTCAGCCTCCCGAGTAGCTGGGATTATAGGTGCCTGCCACCATGCCCAGCTAATTTTTGTATTTTGAGTAGAGATGGGGTTTTACCATATCGGCCATGCTGGTCTCAAACTCCTGTCCTCATGATCTCCCCGCCTTGGCCTCCGAAGGTGCTGAGATTACAGGCATGAGCCACCACAGGGGCTCTGCATTTCTAACCAGCTCTCAGGGAACATTGACACTGCTCAGTTGAAGACCACACTCTGGATTTTCTCAGGATTCTCAAGAAGCCTGACCCATGGGAGGCTGAGGTGGGAGGACTGCTTGAGCCAGAAGGTGGAGGCTACAGTGAGATTTGACTGCACTTACTGCACTCCAGCCTGGGAGACAGAATAAGACCCTGTCTCACAAAAAAATTTCTTTTTTTACAGGAGTAGTTAAACTTTAGAAGAGGGGAAAAAAAAAAGAGAAAAGAAAAAAATATTTTTTTAAAGTTCAGTTATCTGAGAGTGGTGTCTCATACCTGTAATACTGGCACTTTGGGAGGCTGGAGCAGGTGGATCACTTGAGGTCAGGAGTTCAAGACCAGCCTGGCAGACATGATGAACCCTCATCTCTACTAAAAATACAAAAAAAATTAGCCTGGTGTTGTAGTGGGTGCTTCTAATCTCAGGTATTTGGGAGGCTGACTCAGGAGAATCACTTGAATCTGGGAGGTAGTGAGCTGAGATTGTGCCACTGCACTCCAGCCTGGGAGAGGAAGCAAGAGTCCAACTCAAAAAAAAAAAAAAAAAGGAAAAGAAAAGTAAGCAAGCCTGACCCAGAAAACGCCCGTATCCCAAGTAACACATTGCTCCACAGACTTCCAAATAGCATAACCATCCCTCGCGAGTGCCTCAGGCCTCATCACCAACAATATTCTCAGTAGATCTTCACGGTAGCTAGGAAAGGGAGTCTGGAAATCTCCTACCAATGATCCCATTTCACAGACAAATAAACTGAAGCTCGTGGTGGTGAAATAACCGGTGTGGTGCTTACGCAGTGCTAGTGGTAGAACTGACTCCCCTGATTTGGAGATGTGTTTATTGTTTTTTTGAGACAGGGTCTCACTCTGTTGCCCAGACTGGAGTGCAGTGCTACAATCGTGGCTCACTGCAGCCTCGACCTTGCAGGGTTCAGGTCATCCTCCCACTTCAGCCTCCCTGCCTCAGCCTCCCCAAATGCTGAGATTATCTGACCTATGCGGACACTCTTGATTTTTTTTTGTCTTTTTGAGACAGAGTCTTGCTCTGTTGCCAGGCGCTAGGCTGGAGTGCAGTGGCGCAATCTCGGCTCACTGCAACCTCTGCCTCTCGGGTTCAAGCAATTCTTCTGCCTCAGCCTCCCCAGTAGCTGGGACTACAGGTATGTACCAGCACACCCAGCTAATTTTTGTATTTCAGTAGAGGCGGGGTTTCACATGTTGGCCACGCTGGTCTTGAACTCCTGACCTCAAGTCATCTGCCCACCTCGGCCTCCCAAAGTGCTGGGATTACAGGCGTGAGCCACCTCGCCTGGCCTTGATTATTTATTTTAGGAGACAGGGTCTTGCTCTGTTGCCCAGGCTGGAGGGTGGTGGTGTGATCATAGCTCACTGTAGCTCCCAAGCGACACTGATGCTGCTCAGCTGAGGACCACGCTCTGAGCTTCATCCTTTCCCAGGATTCTCAAGAAACTCCCAGCCAATAAAGACCCAGCCAGGCGAAGCTGATCTTCAACTCCTGAGCTCAAGTGATCCTCCAGCCTCAGCTTCCTGAATAGCTGGGATGACAGACACACACCACCATGCCTGGCTATGAAATTTTTTTTTTTTAATTTTTCTTTAGACGAAGTCTTGCTCTGTCACCCAGGCTAGAGTGCAATGGCGTGATCTTGGCTCACTGCAACCTCTGCCTCCCAAGATCAAACGATTCTCCTGCCTCAGCCTCCAGAGCAGCTGGGATTATAGGCGCTGGCCACTATGCCTGGCTGATTTTTGTATTTTTTCAGTAGAGAGGGGGTTTCACCATGTTGGTCGGGTTGGTCTCAAACTCCACACTTCCACCCATTTCGGCCTCCCAAAGTGCTGGAATTATAGGCGTGAGCCATTGTGCCCAGCCCTGAAATTCTTAATTTCTGAACAAAAGGCCCCACACTGATATTTTGTACTGGGTCCTGCAAATTCTGTAGCTGGTCTAGCATACAAATTCTGAGAAGAAAATTTACAGATGCCCAGCATGCAGGCTAAACAGCCTAACAGTTCGATCCAATTCCTTTTCTTTCTTTCTTTTTTCCCCAAGACAAGAGTCTCACCTAGGCTGTGTTGCTCAGGCTGGAGTGCAGCGGTGAGATCTCAGCTCACTGCAACCTCCGTCTCCCAGTTTCAAGCGATTCTCATGTGTCAACCTCCCAAGCAGGTGGGATTACAGGTGTGTGCCACCACACCTGGCTAATTTTTGCATTTTTAGTAGAGACAGGGTTTTGTCATGCTACCCAGGCTGGTTTCGAACTCCTGGGCTCAAGCGGTCTGCCCGCCTTGCCTCCCAAAGTGCTGGGATTACAGGCATGAGCTACCGTGTCTGGCCTCCAACACCTTACTTTTTCTAAGGAAACCAAGTACCTCACATTAATTGTACTGATTCTTGGAGTCAAGCAGACCTGGGCTGAGTCCCGAGGCTGCAACTGACCAGCGGTGAGACCATGGGCTCACTGTGTATTTAAGATAGCTTAGCCACTATTTCCTGTTTCCCCAGTTGTGAAAGGAGGAGAGTGAACTGGGTGGGGCATCCTCAGCCCTGATAACATACATCAGTCACTGAGGGAGGGGAGATTAATATTCTGACTCAATTGGTCTGAGGTGGAGATAAGAAAAAAGTTCCCAGGGTTTGGAACCACTTCTCAGCCTCAGGAACCTCAGGCTCCAGCACTTAGAGTTTGGATGGCTTATTCTAGGACTTCTACAGAAAGTGGAGTTCAAGTGATTCTCCTGCCTCAGCCTCCTGAATAGCTGGGACTACAGGTGCATGCCACCACGCCTAGCTAATTTTTATATTTCTAATAGAAACAGGGTTTCACCATGTTGGCCAGGCTGGTCTTGAACTCCTGACCTCAGGTGATCTGCCTGCCTCGGCCTCCCAAAGTGCTGGGATGACACGTGTGAGTCACCACACCTGACTAGTTTCAGATTTTCTAAGGTATGCGGGGTTCTGCAGTTGCCCAAGGACTGGGCCTGAGCCACCAGGAATTCTTCCCCAGAAAGGAAACATAGCCCCATGTTCGTGCTAGGAAAATACAAAAGCTTATTTTGTTTTGCAAATTAAGTGTTCTCCTGGATAGCATTTAAGGAAATAGATTCTGGCATGTGAACAGACAAAAATAGAATAAAAATTCCTAGCAAGTAGAGTGTAATCCTGTTAGTGTAAGAGCGTGCATTGGCTGGGAGAGGTGGCTTATGCCAGCACTTGGGAGGCAGGTGAACCACGAGGTCAGGAGATCAAGACAATCTTGGCCAACATAGTGAAACCCCATCTCTACTAAAAATACAAAAATTAGCCAGGCATGTTTGCATGTGCCTGTAGTCCCAGCTACTCAGTAGGCTGAGGCAGGAGAACCACTTGAACAAGGGAGGCAGAGGTTGCAGTGAGACAAGATCACACCACTGCACTCGGCCTGGGTGACAGAGCAAGATTCTGTCTCAAAAAAAAAAACCAAAAGAAACAAACAAAAAAGCGTGCATTTACGTCTATAACTACAAAGGTATAAATGAACAGAAGAGAGATCAGGAAAGGTGGCCACCATTATGTTGACGGTAATTCTCTTTTTTCTCTTTGCCCTTTTCAGTTTGAGTTTTTAGTAAACAGGAGCACTTGTTTTTATCATCTGAGAATAAAACCACTTCCTTTCTGAGCTATAGGGGTAATTTACATCTAAGCGGGAGGAAGGTTTATGAAGTTTGGGGTTCTGCTATTTTTCTAAGTCTAAAATCTATTTTCTAGTAAGTTGCCGGTGTGCTAGAATAATGATGAACGAGAAACATTTGCTCATGGTGAATCTTGTATATAAAAATAGAACACGTTCTAAGGAAGCCATTCATCCTCATTTAAAAAATGACTTTTTAAAAAAATCTAAGAAGCAGGATCTACCCTTCAGTGACCTCCCCAGCGGGGGATCTGGAGCTGAGAGGGGGGACGCTGACCCCAAGTCACCCAGCCCTGGGACCGGTTCTGCTCCGAGGGTGGAAAGGATCCGGAGCCAGGGCTGGAAGAATTCCCGTGGGGACTCGAATGGTCCAGCGCGGTGGGGAAGGGAGGGGAGTGGAGGGTGCTGGACAGTTGCAGTGGGGAGGAGAACCGGTGTCACTTTCCGCAGCCCCCGGCGCGGCGGCCCTTATATAGACACGGCGCTGGCGCTCTCACTCCGCGTGCCAAGGTCAAGGAGGGAGGTCACACCTGCGTGCGGCCAGGGCAGCTGCATCGACCCCGCACCTGCACCCTAGCTACGACCAGCGCCCCTTGCCCAAGTTCCTGCAGCTTGGACCCAACAAGGAGTCCCGGCCTTCTCTCCACCCCACCCCAAAGCACCTGTTTCCCCCCCCCCCAAACGGGCGCACTCCTCTCCTTCCCCTCCCCCAGTTTCAGCGTCCTGGGGGCTTCTACCCTGGGCTCACCCCCGCCTAGGTTCATCGCGGGAGAACCCCACGATTCTCGCGCCTGCCCACTCCCACGATGCAATCCCTGAACCTGTCCCCACGCCCCTCCTCCACCACGCACGGGCTTCTCCTCTCCGCGCCCCCCGAGCTGCCCCCGCCCGCGCCCCCCGCTGCCCGCCCCTTCCAGCCCCCGACCCCGGCTCACCTGGCTCATACTTGAGGTAGAGGATGGAGACGATGAAGTAACTGAGGTCGAATACAGGGAAAAGCGGCACCCGCGAGAAGCTGAGCGCTAGCTCGCCCAGGCTCAGCGCCGAGAGCAGCTCCATGGTGCCCGCCCGCCGGTGCCACCCGGGGCCCCGGCTTCGTCCGTCCCGCCGCCCGCGGCCCAGCGACTGCGCCCCCGCAGCTGGGGCCCGCCCCCGCCCTCCAGGCGCCACCCCAGGCCCGGCCCCCGCAGGAGAGGAGGGGCGACGGCCCACCCCGGGACAGGTGGTGGGGACGCCCAGCCCCACGGATGGAGCCGGACGGTCGGGCGTCCGAGACGCTGACCCTCGTGCCATTGTGACCCGGTTCCACCCAGGGAGGAGGGGTGCGGGGTCCCAGTGCAAGGCGAGAGGGGCTGGGGGGGCTACCCATTCTGGGGGCCTGTCCCTCATGCGGGGCACCGGTTCCCAGGGGGCCGAATCAGCCAGGACTTGTCTACATTGGCTCAAGTAGGAGGACCCCGATCTTCGGTGGAGCACAATGAGGACCCCTATGCCCTGGTGGGACCCCATGAATCACAACCCCTGTTCCCCGTGGAAATCGGATCGGTTAGGACCTCCGTCCTCTGCGGGGTCCCGTCAAGACTTTCCTGCCCCACAGGGTCCGTTAGACCAGGAACCCCGTCCTCGGTGGGGCTCCGGAAGTCAGGACCCCCGAGTCTTGTGCGGGGCAGCTCAGTGGGGATCCCCGCCCCCCATGGAGCCCTAAAGGATCTCATTTTAGAGCCCACTTGGTTGGGGCGTCCGTTTCGAGGAGCCCACTGCGTCAGGACCCCGCATCCAGTGCAGCTCGGAGTCAAAAGGATTCCTTTTCTCCAGAAGCCCAATTTGGAACCCCAGCAAGTGAGTGTGAATTGCTGCCCAGCTAACCCTTCGGCACACGAGACCTCACGCAAGCGCCGCACGCTTCGAACGCGTGACCCTATCCCGCCCCAGAAGATCCCGCCCGTGAGTGACGTTAGACACTATCCCCGCCCCTTCCATTCCGGCTCTCGGGACCTCCCCAACGAGGTGGGGCGCTCGCGCTACCCTACAGGGGCCTGGCCTGCAGAGGGCAGGATCCTCCTTACCTTGACTTTCGATTGGTCCAGCCCTCGCCAGCATTGCCTTAGGATTGGTCGAGTTGTGCTCCTCTCCACCTCCCTCCGTTGGGCTTCCGCTTCCGGTTCTGACGACCGCTTCCGGTTCTGACGACCGCTTCGGCTGTAACGATGATCGGAGACATCCTGCTGTTCGGGTAATTAGGGGTACCAGAGGCTGGGAAGAGAGAGCCAGACAGGACGGGGGGGCGCCCCTAGTAACCATAAGTCTCCCTCTGCAGGACGTTGCTGATGAATGCCGGGGCGGTGCTGAACTTTAAGCTGTGAGTAGGCCGCGCCTGACTGCGGCTCCATCCGGGGGACCCGTAGCCCCGCCCTCATAAGCATGATCTCGCGGCACGTTGCAGGCCCCGCCCTACTCCCCTCTGGCCACGCCTCCAGCCTGGTTCACCCTCCTCTGACCCTCCTCGGCATCGAGCGGCAGTAAATCCGTACTCTCCGTTCCTTGGGTGTCTCTCTGCTCGCCTTCGTGGAGAGCTTAAGACCCATCCCCCAAGAAACAGCCCCACCCCGTATTCTCAACCCTGCACCCGCACTGTCGGGCCACTTTGTTAACTGTCGGTGGCCGCTGACCTGGCTGTGATTGTCCGGGCAGTGGTGGCCCTGAGGGGGAAATTGAACCGTCCGAGATCACACAGCAAATCAGCGGCGGGGCCAGGGCTGAAGCTTAGTGTTTGTGGCCTTCTGAGGTGGGATTCAGGGGACCGAGAAGTCTATGTCCCATTGAAAGTGGTCACTGTCTGCTCCGCTTTGTAGGAAAAAGAAGGACACGCAGGGCTTTGGGGAGGAGTCGAGGGAGCCCAGCACAGGTAAGGTCTTCTTCCTGGACCCTGGAATTGCATGGTCCACTGTAGAGAGGACAATTTTGTTTTCACCAAGTCCTACCCTCATTTGCTTTATTTTTTCTTTTCTTTCCTTCCTTTCTTCCTTCCATCTGTCTTTCTTTCTGTCTTTCTTTCCTTTCACAAGGTCGCGCTCTGTTGTCCAGGCTGGAGTGCAGTGGTGCCATCATTGCTCACTGCAGCCTTGGCATCCTGGGCTAAAGTGATCCTTCCGCCTCAGCCCCCTTAGTAGCTGGAATTACAGGCACGTGCCATCATGCCAGGCTAAATTTTGAATTTTTTTATAGGGGTTTCTCCACCTTGTCCAGGCTGGTCTCGAACTCCTGGGTTCAAGTGATCCCCTGCCTTGGCCTCCCGAAGTGCTGGGATTATAGACATGAGCCACGAGTTTTCTCCTTAACTGAGCAGTGCGTGTGAGTGGGAGATGAGCTAAGGATGTGCTATCCTTTCTACCTGCCTCTGTCATCTACTTCTTTCTCCCACCAGACCTCCCTGATGTGAGCACTCACATCACTTCCTACCTTTATAATTTTCTGTTATGTGTGCTGTCATCTGGCTAATGTCTGCCCCTCACATTTGACTGTAAACTTAGAGAAGAGGCCCTAGCTTGGCTGGGCTTGTCCCATTCTTTGTCCTTGCCGTACCAGTCCTTTGATGCCTGTAAATGAATGAACAATCTCACACTTAGCTGTTGCTTTCAGAGTGCTGCCTACCTGCTACTTTTAAAATTAGATGCCAGCATTACATTTTTTAATCAGGAGATTTTATATAAAAATTCAGATGTCTGATTTTTCTTGAAAAATCGGAACATTCTACAACTTGGAATTCAGGAGAGCTCTTGACATCTATTTAAGCGTAGTTGAAAAGAAGCGCTCTGACTCATCCCAGCCCTAACCCCTTCATGTCTATCATCTGCCTGGGCCCTGGAGGCCCAGAATTTACACTTCCCTCTGAATTAATTATGTAACTATTTGGATTGTAAGGGGACCTGTACATGATTGTTATATCCATTCATTCATTCTTTCATTCACCAGATATTTGAGCACCTACGCATGCTCGCTACTGTGCTAGGTGCTGGGATACAGCAGGGGTAAGACACATAGAGTGGAACCTACCATGGGATGGGACTCATAATTTCTAAGGGAGGAATAAATGGTGACAGAAGTGATGTTAGGTGACAGGGAAAGGGAGTCACAGCATGGTGATGGGGTTGCCCTCCTGTTGGTGTGTGGGAGGGAAGGCCATTTGAGGAGGCGGCATCATAGTCAAGGTGGTGGATGACATGATGGAGCACTGCCCAAGGATGGGAGAACCCTGAGGAACAGAGGTTTTCTTTTAGAGACAGGGTATTGTTTGTTGCCCAGGGTGGAGTGTCGTGGCACATTCATAGCTCACACGTGAACTCCTGGGCTCAAGTTCAGCCGGGAACTCCTCTTGCCTCAGCCTCCCAAGTAGCCGGGACTACTGGCACTCACTACCACTTCTGGCTAATTTTCTAAAAAATTTTTTTTGAGACAGAATCTGCTCTGTCACCAGGCGCCAGGCTGGAGTGCAGTGGCATGATCTTGGCTCACTGCAACCTCCACCTCCTGGGTTCAAGCAATTCTCCTGCCTCAGCCTCCCGAGTAGCTGGGACTACAGGTGGACACCACCACACCCAGCTAATTTTTGTATTTTAGTAGAGGCAGGGTTTCACTATGTTGGCCAGAATGGTCTTGATCTCTTGACCTCATGATCCACCCACCTCGGCCTCCCAAAATTTTGGGATTACAGATGTGAGCCACTGTGCCCGGCCTTCTAAAAAAAATTTTTTTTTTTTTGAGATAGGCATCTCGCTGTGTTAATCAAGCTGATATCCATCTCTTGGCCTCAAATGATTATTCCACCTTGGTCTCCCAAACTGCTGGGATTACAGGCGTGAGCCACCATGCCTGGCTGAGCATCTCGCTGTGTTAACCAAGCTGATATCCATCTCTTGGCCTCAAATGATCCTTCCACCTCAGCCTCCCAAAGTGCTGGGATTACAGGCATGAGCCACCATGCCTGGCTGAGCTGAGATTTTGAAGACAGTCCAGTAGCTCCCCTTTTTGGGGGCCTGCCCCTGGGTGGGGACCCAGTTAGGTGCTTCCTGTTAGTGTTTCATTCTACCTCCATTCCTAAAAGATCATGATCACTTTCCCATTTTATAGATGAGGAAGCTGAGGGTTAGAGATGGAATTCAACTTTTTTTTTTCTGAGATGGAGTTTCTCTCTGTCACCCTGGCTGGAGTGCAATGGCTCGATCTCAGTTCACTGCAACCTCTGCCTCCCGGATTCAAGTGATTCTCCTGCCTCCCGAGTAGCTGGAATTACAGGCATGCACCACGACACCTGGCTAATTTTTGTATTTTTAGTAGAGATGGGGTTTCACTATGTTAGCCAGGCTGGTCTTGAACTCCAACTCCTGGCCTCGTGATCTGCCTGCCTCAGCCTCCCAAAATGCTGGCATTACAGGCATGAGCCACCGCGCCCAGCCTATGTAGCTCAGCTTTTTTGTGGCCACATAGCAAATCAATGAGAGAATCAGGATTCAAACTCTAGCAGTTGTAAACTCACTCACTAGGTCATTTCTCTATCTATCCGTTTATCCATCCATTCATACGTTTATTGACTCAGCAGCCATGTGTTACCCACCACATGGAAGGCACTATACCAGGCCCTGGGGTTGCGCTGTACAGATCTGAATCAGAGCTGCTGTGGGCGGGAGATTCGGCACAAAGTGGTGGGAGCATCAGTGACAGGGATGGCAGGAAGGGCACCAGTGCTCTATCAGGAGCTTCCTGCTTTGCTGTCTGCTCTCCTTCCAGCCCAGATGCCGTACCTGCCGCTTCCCCTGTGTGGGCTGCTCCTCTCCCTCCATCCTCTTTGCCTGGGTTAACTCTAATACCATAGTGGCTGCGTTAGTTGAGAGCTTCGTGTGTGCCAGGCACTGTGCTAAGGTCTTCCTAGCTGCCTGTCCCCCTGGTGACATGAGGAAATACACATAGACAGTCCAGGGACTGGTCCAGGTCACCTGTGTAGAAGAACAGAGTCAGGATTTGGCTCATGTTCGTTAAACTGCCCACGTTTGAAGTCAGAGCTTGGAGCTCTGGCATTTCCTCAGAAAGGCTTTTTTTTTTTTTTTTTTAAAGACAGAATCTCACTGTGTTGCCCAGGCTGGAGTACAGCGGCGCAATCTTGGCTCACTGCAACCTCCGTTTCCTGGGTTCAAGCAATTCTCCTGCCTCAGACTCCCAAATAGCTGGAATTACAGGTGCCCACCACCATATCTGGCTAATTTTTTGTATTTTTAGTAGAGATGAGGTTTCACTGTGTTAGCCAGGATGGTCTTGATCTCTTGACTTCGTGATCCACCTGCGTCATCAGCCTCCCAAAGTGCTGGGATTACAGGCATGAGCCACAGGCGGTGCACCTGGCCCAAAGCGTTTTTTTGTTTTTTGTTTTTGAGACGGAATCTCGCTCTGTTGCCCAGGCTGGAGGGCAGTGGCGCTGTCAGCCCCCTGCAATCTCCACCTCATGTTCAAGCAATTCTGCCTCAGCCTGCCTAGTAACTGGGATTACAGGCACGCACCACCATGCCTGGCTAATTTTTGTATTTTTAGTAGAGATGGGGTTTCGCCATGTTGGCCAGGTTGGTCTTGAACTCCTGACCTCAGATGATCCACCTCCGTTGGCCTCCCAAAGTGCTAGGATTACAGGTGTGAGCCTCTGTGCCCAGCTTACTGCAAACTCCGCCTCCTGTGTTCAAGTGATTTTCGTACCTCAGCCTCCTGAGTAGCTGAGACTACAGGTGTGCTCTACTACATCCGGCTACTTTTAGTAGAGACATTTCACCATATTGACCAGGCTGGTCCTTTTTTTTTTTTTTTTTTTTTTTTTGAGACAGAGTCTTGCTTTGTCGCTAGGCCCTAGGCTG